TGGTTAGTATATTTGGTGACAATAGTTACTACTGCTGTACCGTACATCCGCCTTCGGTTGTCAGAGTAGTGTGTGTGTGTGTGTGTGTGTGTGTGTGTGTGTGTGTGTGTATATAATTACTATTTACAAATAATTATTTAAAGTTCATCTATTTCTCTTGAAACATAGAACAATAAATAAAAAAAATATTTGGAAAACAACGATCTCTACCACTTGCGAGGTTTTGAAGTTCTCTTTTGCACTCATGAGTCGTCCTTGCTAAGCCTCATCGTATGCACTTTTGAATACCAAAAAATTATAAATGACTGTACCAATACCACAAAAATCTATTTTAAATTACAAAGCTTTGTAACTATGCTGTATTTGGTCCTAAAAAATATTTCTGTTTGAAAAATAGTATTGATCATAATACTTCAATCTCTCCAACAATATAAGAGCTTTTCTCTCATAAATAACTTAGAAAGACTAATGGAATTATGTAGAAGAAATGCAGAGCTTTTGATTGGTTATAAACTTATAGGTATAAAAAAGCAGGCATAGATAAACAAGTCTTCTCAAATGATGAAGTGGCAAGTAGAGCCAATATGGTGGATTTGATAAATATTATGGTATCTTGGCAAATAGAAAAGGTAGGAGGTTCTTATCTTATATTCTAGCTTGCCAATATCGGAAAGTTGAGTTAACAATTCATATGAAATGTAATCTGACCAAACCCAGTGATATACCAGTGTGACACACAAAAGTCAGTATTTAGCTAATTTTGTTTATATATATATACTTTTAAATTAAGAAATTAACTAATGTATAATACTAAAATTTGAATTAAAATCTACAATTTGATACCAAGTTCATTGACATACATTCATAAAATAGTAGTTAATAAAATGCCCTCCGACCCATAGCTTCCTATCTCAATAGGGTTAATTGTTGGTGTGGAGGCCTTTGAACAGCCTATCATTGACAGATTTACAATAATTCTAAAATTTGTTAAATCGTAAATGTTTTATGCAAATATAGGCTTTCTATATTGATTGCATGCTTAGTATATCTTACTGTCATAATTGCAGTAGGCTTAAGCCCTATACTTCAATAAGTTCAGTCACTACCAAATGCTGTATTATAGTAATAACCTTATAAAACAGTGGCTATATCGAAATTGGAAAATTATGAATATAGTTGTTTGTGTAGAGAGGGTGGAGGGATTCTGCAACCAATGCACATTAAAATTCCTAATCCTAAATTACGATGTTGGCATGCATATAGAGAATTAAATCATTTGCTAATGCTGTATAATACAATATACTGTTGTAATAAGCAGTTGTACATTGAAGTATGAATATCATTCTGTTTCTTAGTGTAGCTTCTAGATCTTCAATCGATTATTCTTTGATGCTATAACTGGGCCTATTGGATCTAGCAACAGTTGGTTTTTTGGTGTGATGTCTTGTTGAGGATTTCTTTCTGTTTTGCTACTGTCAGAATAAAAAAAATCATTATTGTCTACTTTTCTATAATCTTTTCTGACTATGATAGAAAACAAACTTTTGGAACTAGATACATTACTATTATCAGAAACCATTTTTGTTATTATCAGTTTGACTTTATTTCCTTTTATTGATATTTTATTTTGAATGCTAAAAGTTTGGCTGTTTCTGGAATGAGCCAACTTTTCATTACTGAAATTGTGTGGTATTCACTTGTCAGTTGACTACAGGTCACTCAAACATTGGATTTAAGCAATGTTGCATTAGGATTTATTCTTTTGAATTTAAAATATATAAATTAGTGATGTTTTATGTTTTACAAAATGGAGTAACAATAACAGTTTTAGTGTAAGTAGTGTTAAGTAGACTATACTATAAAGTGGATTGAACGAAAAATTGCTTGAAATGCCAAACAACAAACTTATCATCAGGAAGCAGTATTTTATTACAGGATATTGCCAGTGAGAAACATTTGGAGTAAACAACAAACAGCCATTGATTGAAGCTTGCAATGAAACTAGCAAGTCCTTTAATTAGTAAACGCACAATTCACACCACAAAATAACTCTTGTCATTTGAAAGCAGAATGGATCTCTTTCTTCTGTTTGTGCTAGTGCAAATCTAAAAACAGTTTATTTCTGAACCTGTAGAGGTGTTGCCTTTACTGAATTTAACAACAGTAATTAAAGCAAGCTATACATCAATCCTGACAGATTGGGATGGAAGTGATTCTGGCTGACACATGTAGTTGGTGCACAAAATATTGACACAAAAATGTTCATTAGAGTGTAAAGTTAATTGTCCCAATGTGAATTTCAGCTTTATCATAACATTTAAAGTTAGAACCATAACTTTTACTTTGGGTTTTCTTTTCTCAGAATGTAATGTTGATTTTATCTAATTTAGATTTTTGCTATCAATTACCAGAGTAGCCATGGATGACTAAATATTTTCAAGTGGTAACTGCTTTTATGGCAAGAGGTGCTCGTGCTTCTCTGGTATTGTAAAGTTGTAGTATATGGCATAATGCATTCAACTAAGAATTACAAGTTTGTACTTCATGTTATAAAGTAACAACCCCACAGGCCAGAAAAATAACATGCTGTACCAGTCCGTGAGACAGACACCTAAGACATAATACAAATAATTACTCATTGCCATTTATAAGTAACAGTAACAGTAAAAAAGAAAAATTTATTTTCACCAGTCCGTGAGACAGACACCTAAGACATAATACAAATAAGTACTCATTACCATTTCTAATCCCTCTCGTTCTGTTCAAGAAAGGAGGTAGTTTTATCTGTGTTGAGTGTTAGTTGAAATGTGCATGACTATTTCACCACTACTACAGATTATAAATGCAAGTTTTGATATGTGTATTACTGCTGCTTTGAAATAAAATTAATTATCTGTTCATCATTACTGGACTTAAATGTCATCTTGGTAGCAGTATTATTTTTAGTGACATGTATTACAGTCACAGTTGCTGAAATTTACTAACTGAAGATTACCTGATACGTGACAAATTTTATGAGGTTGAGCAATCATTAAGTTTCTTGGTGTGCCAGACTGGAAGACGTATATTTTTTAATTAGCATACACAGACTTAGAGACAGTAAAAATATATTTTAATATGCATAACAAGCACTTTTAAGGTAGATAAAATTGTGTCATTGAGAAGTACCATGAGCATATTAAAATATGGGGTGAAAAGTTAATTTTGTTTGTATTAAGAAAAATGAAAAGATTATTACTTATGACAATACTTTCCTTTTCTTGCTATTATGTTTTTTCATGGAGTTAGGAAGAATGGAAATTACAGGAATGAATGGAAAGGTGTATGATGTTTTAGATAACAGTGTTAGAATAACTTTTGAAATTTAGTAAACCATTTTTAAGAATCATTGTAGTTAAAGTATAAGTACAGTATATGTGATGTAAAGAAACACTAGACTGCCAATGATTTAATCATCATTTGTAGAACAATTGCATTTTTAGCATAATGAGAAAGAATGCCTGAGGAAATTGACAATGTTATATTTGTAGGATCTCAAACTTAAAGCCTTATAGGATCATACATTTTAAGTAGAAAAAGCTTTGGAAAAGATAAGGAACTAAGAAGTTTTCAGGATAATCTTATTTTCCTCTTTCTTTTGAATAAAACTTTGGGGTTTGTCAAATTTTTAACACATTTGCTAATGAGTGATATTTTTGTTTACTTTTTGACACTAGACTTCAGAGATATACATTAACCATTTTAAAGAAAGCAATAGTTCATAAGTGTGACTTCAGTGTATTATAAATGGTTGTTGAACTTATTTGACCACGAGCTGTACATATCTCTGTAAATATACTGTTTACTTAACAAGGGATTATTATCTATCCTACTGTGTAACAGCTAGTTGTTTAATGTAGTCATGGAAGCACTAAAGAAATGCTCAGTTAAAAATGGAATTTGTCATAGCAAGTTAGTACTATCAAAACAAATCTGTTATTATCAGCAGGTCTTGTAACTTTGTAATAATTTTGTAGGACAGTTTGAAGGGTCACTGGGGAAGCTTCAGGTAGTTAGTGTAAACTATCCTAGAAAACTTTTGGAAACTGGCATTCACCGGTCAATGGAAGAAGAGGAATCCTCAGCTAGTAAGGACCTACACGTGTATCGAAAACTTCTACTTGACATAGAAAAGGTTTGTATTTTTTTTTATAGGAAGAGTTAGCTTACAGGTACACAGATCCTTATGTAATTTATGTAAAAGTTAAGTTGGGAAATTAATGATCAAAACTTACTGAATATTGTAATGTGAAAAATATTTATACAAATACTGAAGAAAATTAGGCATGTATATTTTGTAAAATCAGGGTGAAATAGTAGAGACTTGAATATGTTTTTAACATATTGAAATCAAGGTACCACCAGTTAATCAGCCTTTAAGTCAGTATAGCCTTTTTTTTTACCTTAATAACAATTGTTTTCCAAACACAGACATATTTATATTACCTGGGCACTGCACTGTTATTATCTGAGATCCAGGTGATATCTTAAGTTATGTATAGTAATGACGTTTGGCATAGTCTTTCAACTTGGATTCTTGCTGCACAAAATGTTATTTAGTGTTGGTTTTTAAAATGAATTCCTATTCTATACAATGGTGTTTCGTGTTAGCTTTAAACCTGATTTCCTGTTCTGTGTAACGGTGTTTATTTTTAACTTGGATTCCTCTTGTAATTTTCTCTTGGGAAAATATTTGCAGAATTGAATCCACAGAAATAAGAACGAATTGGTTGAGGTTATCTATGGGTGTATTATCATATTTAAATAAAAATTTGGCTCTGGTTTTAATGATAAATCTGTTTATTTGAATTTTCTAGTTGTACAGCTTGGTGTTGGAAATAGATGATGATGATAAGCGAAGTGACACACACTCAAAAAATGTCATTGAGGTCAGTGAGGTAAAACATAGTCGAGATCAGTTGACTGGAAAACTTTTTTGTGGACTCATGGGTAAAGGGAGTGACACATCAGCTAATGAAGATTTTCTTCTTAACTTATCATTAGTCAGGAAAGGACGAACATTACTTCTAAAGTCATTGCGTTATTTTACAATGGTAAGTGAAATCATGGTTGTGGTATGTCCTGGGAAGAAATGCCTTATACATGTTGCTTTTATAGTTTCTTATTACTTATCTTATTTCAGCTACTTTCATACTAAGAAATGTTTAGATTTTTAACTATTTGGTGCCAATAAGAAACTTGCAGAGCTGATCAGTTGAGAAGTTAATTCTTTAAATCCCTACATCAAATTACTTTGTTGTTAGTATAGCATGAAAGAGCAATAAAACTTTTATTTGGTATTTGGGAAACTTGGCTTGAGGTTTCTTAATGGATAAAACAAAATAGCTAAAGGTAATACTTTATCCAGTATTTTATGTGGAAATTTAAGATTATCTGTGTTCATTAAACTTCAAACTGAATGCTTTGTTTGTATTCTGTGTACAAAATTTGCATGAAATAAAAAGCAAACACCCAACTAACATAATAAATGTATATGGCAAGCTAAGGGGTCTAGGCTCTGAGAATTGGCAGAAATTTGGCTGTTAGAATGGCTTTGATAAAACTGCACTAGAAATAATTGTGAATATGTTTTCTTTGGGAAAGTACGATAAAGTTTGTTAGCAAATATAGTACGTTATCTGTGAGAGGAGAAAAATACCACATTGCTAGTCAAAAATAAAACAATATTATGGGGGGGGGGAGAAAGAGGTAAAATATTTAGTGATTAAAGCATATTTTTAATCACTTTGTTTTTTTATAAGTGAGTTCATTGAGTAAGTAAAATAACATTTATATTATTTGAGATTGTTTTGTATGTGTGTTAGGTTGTTTTTTTTTCATTTTGTGCTAATGTTTTATGTACTTTATATTTTTCTCAAGCCCAATTACACAATTTACTTTTAAGTTATAAGAAATAAAAGTGTTAAGAATGAGAAAATAACTTGATCACAATATGGTAGGGTCATTTGCTTGTTAATCTTTTTTGAAAAAATAATAGCTTGTGATTTGTAGTAATCTATGGAATCTTTATATTTGCATATTTTATTATGTTGCCTTTGCACAGTAGAATTTTTTTTATCCAGTCATCTTAATTTTTGTTTTCTTGACAGAGCAGTAAAAGTTATATGCCTAGTCTAAATATTGTCAGAACACGGACATAACTAGTAAAGATATGATTGAATAGTTAGGTGGTGTTCTGGATTGAAAGTTTGACTGGAAAATTAATTTATGATTACATTTTTCTTTCAGTGGTATTTCTTTCCAGAACTGCTGGAAACTTGTTAAAATAACTTAGTTTGTATAAATTTCATTCTTGTTTTTCATAAAAATATAAAACTAGATTAATTAAAAAAAAGAAATTGGAATAGATTAAGTAATCACAATCATATGAGAAACTGCAGGATATTTATCAAAGACAATTAAAATCTTGTTCATTTTGAAAAAGACAGGAATGGATGGCTTTCACTGTACTTTTTCAATCAGCACATTCATTGTGTCTATCTATAATCGTTTTTTGTGTCATTTTAGACGGTATAGTTTTTTCTAAAAGTTTTATGGCTAAGACAATATAGATATTAACTTTGATTAGTAATCGGGATCAGTAATCAATCACATAGGTGTCAATACAAGTCTTGTGGAAAGAAGTTTTTTGGACAATGTTCATCATGCCCTCTTGAAGATCTGTGCTGGCATTGTGAAACATTGTCAAAAACAATTTCCAGACAGATGCAGTCCATTAGAAATTCCTTTCAAGGCTTGTGAAAGTTTTTGGATTACATATATTTCAGTCAATTTAAAAATGGCTTGAAGCAACATATTGTATAATATGGTAAACATCTTCAGCCCACATTTTTGAATTAGTAATATGGCTCTGAACTAGTACAACATTTATTTAAGTGTTTTAGATATAAGATATCAAACTTTAAGAACATAACTGGTATTTGATAGGCTTCACTTTACACTTCTCTCCCATATCCCCCGTTGTTGTTGGTTTTTTTTTTTGTGGGACATGTTTATTACAAACAGAAAGAGCAAATTCTATACTACATAAAACCTACAGTTTTCTCTTTTGTTTTACAAGTCAAAGCCAGTATTTGTCCAGGAGAGTTTGATGTGTTTAGACTAAAGACTTTTCTCTGAACAGTAATACTTAGAAATACAGATAAATTATAGTAGTGCTTGTTATATTTTTTGTCTTAAAACACGTATATCTGCACGAATTATTTTTGGATAGTCAACATAATGAGTTTTAAAAAATAGGCTTACTAAATAGTGCACCCAAATGCTAAAAACCTTACAGTTAAAGTAAATGCAAAATATTTAGTTTTATGTAAATGTTTGGTTATTGATACAAAAGTAAAATTTGTTAGGGTAAGTTAGAAAACTTAAATGAAAAAATTTCACCTTGAAGAATGCACGTTGGCTCTTGTTGTATGTAACTTGATAGTCGGTTAACCGTATGCTGTTGTTGATGATATTGCTTTGTTAATTATAAACAGTTCAAAGAGCAATAAAACAATAGAATTAAATGAAGGATGAAGTGAAATTTTAAAGAGACTGATGCTGTTTAGGATAAATAATTGGAATTGTCTGCAGTTAGTGTTAGGGTAGAGAAAATAAGAGATAAAGTATAAAATTTAACAAAAATTTTTTTTATTTTCAATTAGGAGGTTGTAGAGATTATGTAAATGAAATATGAAAAGTGTAAGAAGAAATTAAGTATTTTTATTCTTAGCATAAAAGTCTCCTCTCATTTGGACTGACTTGATAACAGATTCATAAATTCTCAGACACATCTTTAGCAAAAGTACTTCATTTATAATTTGATTTTTTTAGTGTTGAACAGTTTTGTAATGTTAATAAAAGCTTACCAAATTTTGTGAAGATACATAGTAAGTTCAGAATTATAGTAAACATTGTGATATATATAACTTCATGGAAACAAGGTCTGTCCAATGGACTGATGCTGCTGGAATTTGGTTAATATTATTGATCTTATTGTGAAGTAATGTCACATGAAGTATTGAACTATAGGTTGTGCTTCACTGACATAATGCATTATTTAGCAATAACAGGGTGGTCATAAAACAAAAGGCTAAAGTGATACAAGCTTCTAGCCATTGGCATATGCAACTTTTACTTGAGTAAGATATTAGTATGTGTGTGTACAATTTCATGATATTCAGTTAGTAAGAATATCATACATTATCTAGAATACCAGCATGAAAATTTAGTTAAATTTGCTGAATATATCTGACTTAAAGATATTTTAAACTAGTTATGGAGGGGTGAAATTCAGATGTATTCCAGATAGGACTCAGTATTTATCAATAAAAACATGATGATACATGTATTATGTAAATATTGCTTTTGGAGTGTTTCTAAATTAGAGTGACGTTGTATGGCTAATAATGACCGACAACTCTTCATTAGCTTGTGTTGCTTTTTTGCAAGAAATGGCTGAATGTAAGACTGTAAAAAGCAACCAAAGATACATTAAGTAATTCTTACTGAGGAGCTTTTGAAAGAAAAGAGTAGAAAATATTGAATCATCAGAGAACTGTTCCAAGACTGAAATATACTATATAAAATAGTTAGTGTGACTGCAGAATTGTAATCATAAGATTGAAAATGATCTAGAATTTTAACTGTTTAATTTCTCAGTGTGAAATTATGATTATAAGATTGAAATTATCTAATTCTGTTTTATCTCTGTCTTAAGCCTTTCAGTAGTTTTTAGCACTTCTAAACAAAGTAAGGTAGCAATGAAATTTCTGAACAAGGGAGTGTATAATAAGACTAGAATAACCCAAGTTTTTTTATTTGTTTCTTACACATTGTAAGCAACATTTTGTAATAAAACAATTGATTCTTTGGTTGAATGTACCTAAGAATCTAATTTTTCTTTGTGTTTATGTATACACAATATTGGAACTAATTATGGAAACAAAAAGTGGGTATAAAATGAAAATAATATGGGATTTAACTCACTCTATTGTATGAAAATGAAGTGCACCAAATTATAAACACGATTTTGAGGTAGAAAGCCCAGACTCTTTGGGAGTGATATTAAGTAACTCAAGGTATGTTCTTTACATGATACTCTACAATTCAGTGACATACCTATAAGTACAGGTATAAATGTTAGCTCCAGAGCAGTAAGATACACTTCAGTGTGAAGTGGCTTTAGTGAATGTGTAGCTACTCAGAAGAATTGTTTAGGAGAGATAACAAAACCAAAAGGTTAAAAATGATGGGATGAGCAAAGTATGAGGAGGGTGTTGTGTACATGTGAATTCAAATTGTTTGTCAACAATCAACAAAAATTTGTTTGATGGGAGGAGATTGGTATCATTGTGAATGTACATCTTTTAGAGTGAAGCATGCTTGGGAGCCTATACAGATGTGGGCTGCATCTTGGTTGATGGTGTTGGAGATCTACACAAAGTTAATGACGCTACTATTAATAATGTCATTCTCTCAGGAACAGGACATTTTGGCATAGATTCATCTTACAGCAAAATAGTGATTCCAATCATGGATTAAAGATGGTGAAATGATACTTAGAAGGAAAGAAGTGGATGGAACACTACAACCATTACAAGCCTGCACATAGTTTGAGTATGAATATTATTAAGGCTGTATGGGTTTATATGGAAAATGAGAAGGTCAAATGGTGACCAAATTGTTTGACTGAAGAATTATGGGAAGTAATACAAGATGTTTAAATATTTTACAATAATACAATGATAGTGTTATTGTATCATAAAAACAAGGCGCACTGATATGTTTAAAGCAAATACAAAAATATTAATGCATTGTACAGCTTATAAGCTGACCAATCAATTAGTTGTAGTTACCATTGTGTGTGTGTGTGTTTATTTTTACAATTAGAAAGGTTTTCCTAAGAATTATTGTACCTTTCTGTGGTATTTCTTGGAAAATAGAAAGTTGCAGTAAGATTGAGATTTACTCAAGGATTATTGCTTGTGGTATTTCTGGCAAAGAGGATGGTAAAAAAAAAAAAGTTTATTATCCAAGAATGTTTATTAAATAAACCATTATCATAAGATTAAGTATGGTCCAAGAACTGTAACCAATGTTTGTGGATTCCTAAAGAAGAGGTTGATTGTAGGACTAAGTCATGCAGGAATTATCATCCTATATGCCATTTTTAGGTGAAAGATTGTGCTGGCTGATACTTTTCAAGAATTATTTTAATTGTATGGGTAATGGTTTTGATCATGTATTTGAATTTATGCATCTTGCTTAAGCTATGTAGAAGCATTTGTAGCATAAAGTTATCACACAATATATATATTAAAGCTGAAGAAGTTAGATTGGTTTTTGAACTTTTGGAGCCTAGTATTAGAAACGAGCAATGGCATGGAATTTATATTAATTCCGCACATAGACCTAATATTGGAATAGGTTTGGTATTGGCTTAGAAAAAAGGAGTATTTATGTGTATAGTAATGTTTTATATCCTTAAAATGCTTTGAATTTATACCTTTTAAATTTATTACTGTTATTTTGATTCATGTAGCTGAGTCTTTTGGTTTGTATATATATTTGCAGTCACAACAGATGCACGTTCTTGTTAAGCTATTTCGTGGATTAACTCCAGTCTTGAAAAGGGACCTAAATGACCAGCTTTTGTTGCAACATGTGGACACAGTGATTGATATTATAAGGAATTGTACTCTTGAAAATTTGGTGGATTTAGGTCAAGCATTACAAAACTTACCAACCATAGAAGAAGGAAAACCTATTTCTCCAGTTAAAGATAGAAATCATTATCAAGCTGCCTTTCAAAATAAGGTAAGACGGATAATAGCAGTGCCTGAAATACCACATTAAAGTGAACAAATTTCTTTCCACAAAATTTCAAATGTGCTTGTTTGGTAGGAAAATGCTGTTTCAAGCTTTAATTTTACTCCATATAAAAAGTACATTGGGTAGTTAAGTAATCTTATATTAAATCTGTAGGCTTACTTTTCATACTTACTTATGAACTGTAATGTGTGTTTTCTCTCCATAGTCTTTTTCAGAGGATGGTTAATTTCATAGATAGAAATGAAACAGAGGACAAAGCAGCATAAGGCCACACAAATTTGTAATGTTAGACATTCTTATAGTGCATGTCTTCCTTTAAAATATTGAGTTGTAATTTTAGTAGAGCATTGTACAGGTAAACATTAATACTTCACACTGTTATGATAATGGAAAAGCCTAGCTAGTATGTCCTGAAGCCAAAATGTAATATTGATGAAAATTGCCCATGTGCACTGATATAAATTTGGTGTATACAAGCACTTTTTGTCAAATTGGAAATAGGAACACACAAAATAATTAGTAACACACATTAGCTGTATTACAATTAGTCGTTATACAAGTAGTAAAGTAGCAAAATCATGCAATTTATTCTTGAATAAGTTTTTTGATAGTTTGAGTGTTATTGTTACTGCTAGAACATTTTTACAGGTTTTAATATACACGAGTATAAGTCATAATGATATTTTACATGGATAATATTTAGTGAGAAACATACAACTTGTAATAAAAAAAATTAAACTGAAATTAGAATTAATTAAGACAATAGTGAAAACATTATCTTATTTCATTTCATTGAACAATATAAACTAAATCCAAAATAATAATACAAGAATAATGAATGCTATTGTATTTAGGAGAAAAATAAGCTGGATCTTAGGAAGTTAAAAACCCATCTGAAAGGAAACTGGATAAATATTGATAGCAACTTCTGAAATGATACTATCCCAATGATAAAACATAACCTGTTTGAGATATGGAAAATTCCAACCAATATTTGTGACATCTATTTTTCCACAACACTATAGACCAAAAACATGTTTTTCTCATCCTCTTCAGAGCTTCTCGGAGAAAATATAACACTATGTGGCTCTTGCTGATATCAAGTATTATTAAACTGACAGTACTCTGACTGTAAAAAATGAGGCCTTGCAACATGTTTCTGCAAACTTAAGTTTACTAGTAAAAATGATAGGTGTCACTGTCATACACAGATATTCTGAAATACCTATTTGCTTTGTGTGTTGAATATATCAAAGATTTAAAGTACAAGTGAAAGATATTCTGTGAACTAAGTGTACTAATATGTGTAAAGTGACCTGACAAGAGATTGTTATAATGTTAAGAACGTATGTTTAATATGTGTATTTTGTATGGAGCTAATGATTTTGAAAAGATTATGAAGATGTGTTCAAGTTGTTTCATTACTTATGTTTCCTGGAGGATCACACCTAGAACGTGGGTATCATGTATGACATTTATTAGCATACAGTCCATAACTCCAATTTTTTCTTTTTATGTTGAAATATTTAATGTTAACTTTAGTTTTCACCTAGTGAAGAGCTATGCACTTGAAGTTGTTGATATACATTTCTAAAACTAATGTTTTATTGATCGCTACTTCAAGTAGTGATGCGAGGTAAAGATATTTGATTTCAAGTTTTGTTTTACAATCTACCCTACCTACAGTATTATTTATTAAAGTTCCTCTATTTTTGTTTCATACTACTAGCTCTTTACTTGTGTATTGATTGTGCCCATTTTGTGAGAAGACTAGTGGGATCAGTAAAAGTATTTTTGCATGCCAGTAGTGAAATATGGATTGCCCCTTTGAACGTCTTTCCAGTGATGCTTTTAAATTTTTTCTGGGTTGCAAACTAGGGATTTAACATTTAAAGAAAATCAAAAATGAATGTCTTTAAAAGTAGAGCAGCAAATTAATATGCACTGAAAAAAGTACAATTTCTTCAATTATATATAAAGATTGGGCTAAGAAAAGTAGTTTCATTTGAGGGATTTCTAAACTTTTTTTATTTTTTATAATTGAGTTTATTGCACCATGCTAGCCTAAGAACTAATGTTTTTTTTTAATTGTTGTACATGAAAGCATTACCACGATGGAGATGGAGGAGAACTATAGAAGTTCATTCCATGTTTTTTCATTTATAAGTATGGAAATCATTATCTTAAGTGGTCTGTTAAAGGGAGCATACAGCTCCAAAGAAAATAACATGTTTTTCCTCTCACATGAATCACTACTGTCATTGTTATGTTTTAAAACTGAAAATATACATTGGCATGTGGAGCAGTTAATCATGTTTGGCATGCTCCATGCATGAATATTTCCGAGTGTAGCACCTGAGGCCAAAACTTTATGTAGTAAAGTTTAAAATAAAAATATGGAATCTTTGACAAAAGTTCTTAAAGATATTTGTTCTTGATGATACTTCAACAGTATCTGTTTCCACCTTCAAAAGGGTATGTATGTTTCAAACAGTTAGGGTTTATTTATGTATGTATGTGTGTGTGTGTGTGTGTGTGTGTTTATATATATTTATTTATTTTTGAGTATCTTTGTAATCTTTTTGATTTATATTAATTTCATCATTGTTTTACGGTGTTGATTAAAAACTTTGGGTTTATTTATGTATATATAAATTATAAACTTTCTTTTTTAATTCCAAAACATTAGCTTTAGGAAAATTAAAAATAACAATAACTAATATACAGAAAACAATATTGTGTTAAATATACTTATGGATAAAGAATTTCAAAATGATGATTTTTCTTCTTGTGACAAACAATTAAGGAATGTCAATTCCATGAATGTAAAAGTGACTCAAATTCAAAGAAACATTTTTCAACTTCAAAAACAAAGACAGGGTTAAACTGTATAATGAAGTTTGCATCTTTATATTATTATATCTCAATTCACTTTTGTACTTGTGGAATATTGTAAACTTTTTATTTCATTTTTAGAATGCTTTGGTTATATTTCCCCATATTACTTTTTTCAATTTTTCTTGTTGGTATATTTTTTCTGTTTTTATTTATACTTCTGTATTATTTTTGTTGTACTTTTTTTAAATTTATTAGGTCATCAAGAAATTAATGTCACATTTTGGAACACTTCCATTAACCCCCCCCCCAAAAAAACGTGCATCACGTATAATAGTTAAATGAACCACTTAAATGTCACTTTAGTGTAGCCATTATCATGTGTAAAGTTTTGCATGCTCTAATCCCTTAGTGATGGCACACAATGACAGACACATTCGGCATGTGATGCCGTTTGAATACAAAAAGAGAAACAATGCCTCTGTAGCCTGCCCCCCAGTGGCACAGTGGTATGTCTGTGGACTTACAATGCTAGAAACCGGGTTTCGATACCCGTGGTGGGCAGAGCACAGATAGCCCATTGTGTAGCTTTGTGCTAATTCCAAACAAACAAGCCTCTGTAGCCACAAAGAATATCAAAGAAGTTTATGGAAATTTTCTGAATGTAAGTGTCAATGATGGTTCAGCAAATTTTGTTCACGTGATTTTAACCTTAAAAACTGTGATGGCAGGGACCGACATGTTGGAATTGATATTGATGCCTTTTGAGCCTAACCCAAGGCAACACATTTGGGAAATGGCCCTGCAATTGCATGTCTCGTGAAACAATACATAAACATCTAAGTAATATGGGACGACTCTCTAAAAAGGTGTTTGGGTGCCTCACGAACTCTCTGATATCATTGTTTCCAACGTGTGAGCGTTGCTTCGTCTCTTCTGGCATGTAATGCTCGAGAACCATTTTTTGGACAGAATTGTCACCGGTGATGAAAAGTGGATTCTCTATGCAAATATTAAACACCAAAAACAATGGCTCGGTCCTAGACAAAAACCACTTCCGACCCCAAAACTTGGACTCCATCCGCAGAAAATAATGCTTTGCATCAAAAGAGTAATTCATTTCGAACTCCTCAATCTACAGTGAACTGTCAATGCAGAGATCTATAGTCATCAAGAGGAACATTTAAATCAAGCCCTTGATCAGAAATGTCCTTCACTCGTCAGTCGGAAAGGTGTTCTTCTCCACGACATTGCACGTCCACATTGTGGAGTTAGGTTGGGAAAGTTTCCCCACCCACCATATCCTCCAAATATGGCACCATCAGATTACCATCTTTTTCGTTTGCTGCAACACCATCTTAATGGGAAAACATGCAAATGTGGAAGATGTTAAAGAGGACATTGGCATGTTTTTTGATTCAAAGCCAAGTGATTTCTTTAGTCAGGGTATTAACATCCTGATTTTAAGAAGGAAAAGCAAAAAGCATCATTGATGAGAGTGGAGACTTTCATTTAATATATGTTTTGTTTTGATATACAAGTTGTTCAGATTTTTTCATCTAAAAAAAAAGCAACATTCATGATGACCTAATACAATTTTATTTCTTTTTTCTTCACTGATTTTCCTTAGTGGGGATATTTTATATTTATTTGATACTAAACTGAAACCTTTTTAATAATTGTTTAGTTTTTAAGGAATGATAATTCTAATTATCTCACTTGACCATATATTTTATATACATGTTTTTTTTTTTGTTGTTGTTTAGTTTGGATCTATTTTGGTATGTCACATGCTGAGTACAGCAGAAAATTTGTACAGCCTTGGATCGGAAAAGGATTTAGAAGTTGAGGCACAATGGTATGTTGAGAGTAATTTATAGATATACTGGAGGTATCACAGTCAAAAGATATTTATATTTCTCTTATCATTTGTTGCAGTTTTTGTGCGTCTTTATCCAAATATTTTGTAGGGCATTAGATATATATACATCAGTTTGTTAAAAGAGTCTATTGATAGGCATTACAAGCGGTGTATCATTTGTATGTATGCATCCTTATATCAGTTAACCCTCTTGCTACAGGAATTCTTTTCTGTGAATGTCCCAAGGTTTTACTGAGTTACATTCAAAATTTAATTAAACTACTTTTATATTATGGTATACATTGGCATAAAAACTAAACTAATTATCCAAATTTTAATTTTATATAAGTTTTATGTTCTTAATTTTCTAAGGCAATAGAATCCCCTTCCTCTAGTATTAGAATTGTGACATTTACTTTCTAGGCATTCCCTTTTCACTAATTTATTTTCAAACCCTCCGAGAAGTATGAAATTTAATGCAAGTTACTTATTACAACGTTTTCTTCACTCTGGCAAACCATAATTTTTATAGCTTTCACTCTTATTTGGTTACAGAGCCATGAAATAGAAAATCAGACCCTCCTTGTCTCATCCTCTCTTTCAGAAATTGCTAATAGTTCTCTTCAACATTTAATACTACATTATTTATTAGCAGTAGAAAGCCAAAATTTTAATGTATCAAATGACATATTACATTGTTGCTGTACAGAGAATTGTTTATTTTGCTTCCAGGTCAAACTTCACTCCCACAAGAAACACATTGAAGAGGTTAACTGAATTTTTAGTGGCTCTTATTGCATAGTTAGAAAGCCAGAATAATTATGATATAGGATATTATTTGCTCTTTGTGTTATCATTCTGTGTTTTTAGGTGCATTATTTAATTAAATAAAAAATTTAGTGTAGTAGTACCATTAGTATGAAAAAGTAAGGTTAAGTTTCATCATCAGTCAACAGCAAAAAAAAAGAAAATTAGAAATTGAAGTCATTCTATAAAGAAAAAATGGTAATTTAGATTTATTTCATTTTTTATGGTAATTATGAGGTTAGTTAAATTGACTAACTTTGTATAAAGTTAGGGTAGAGAAAATAACATAAAATATAAAGTTTTACTAAACAAACACTTGAAATTTATTTAGGAGGTTTAAGAGATTATGCAAATATAATTTGAGATTTTTCAGATGAAGAAAAGTATTTTTAATCTTAACATGAAAATCACATTGCACTTGGAGAAGTCAAAACTTTGACTTCATCTATTCCTGGAGACATTTTTAGTGAAAATACTTCATTAAATGACCTTTAATGCTTGCTGAAAGCTTGCAAAATTTTGTGAAGATACACAAAACATATACTGATTATTTGGACATAAGACATTCAGTTCACTCTATTAGTGTTATTACGTGGGCTTGGAATGAGCTTTACTTTAGTGTATAGTAATCTCACCTTTATTGACAAAATACCTGACAGTTGCTGTTCATGAAATATGATGATATATGTATAGTGCCTATACTGTTACTTTGTGTGTAATTTCTCGGGCAGTTTGAGTACTGGTATTGAGCAAAAGGACTCGTACGTACTGAATACAGCAAATGCAGTGTTTGACATATTTTCCTTTGCTTTCACTCATGGATTCTTAGAATCTAAATTTTTCTTTATGGTTTTAACTTGAATGTGTCTGTAATGTAACAGCCTAAATGTTTAATATTTAAAATGTAGAAGTAATTGAGGAGTTGTATTACACCTCATCATTACTTTAATTTAATATAAGATCTAGTATAACATTAAAGCATACATATTTCATGAAAAACTAGCTTTAAACATACTGGGTTGTATTGGGAAACAACATTATTATTATTGTTGTTGTTATTATTATTACAGGAAAGCTGAACTGTTATGCTATAAAAGAAATAGTTTTTTGACTTGAGTTACCATCATTAAATGAATAAACAATTAGTATTTCCTGGTTTTGGTTAAGATAAGTCCAGAAAATAATCCTTGTTATGAAACTAGATAAAAGTCGTACATGTTAAGTACAAATTAGTAGAATGCATTGACAGTTGGAATTTAAAATGAGCGATGTTTCAGGTCACTTGCATGCTCTTTAATCGGGTTAACACAATCTAACAATCTGGAGTTATTTGGATTGGCACAAGATTTGAGTAATTTCAATTGTTCATGAAGACCTGGTGTCTTACTGGTGTGTTTTGTTTCTGGTCTAGTAGAATTCATGTTAGTGTTGATTCCTTTGTCTTTTGTGCTTCACATTATCACTAAAAACAGTGAGGAAAAGTCTGGATCATCCTGATGAGATGTGAAAAATTTAACGTTTTTCAGATTGTACGACTCTTACAAACTCATAATTTCTTTTGAGGCACATTGTACTATTAAGAGAAAAATAAAATAAAAAAGGACTCCCTAATACTATTCCTAAAGATCAACTAAATATCTTAACCCTTTCGAGACGGGTCACGGGTGAAAGGCCATGTCATCTCGTTTCTTGACTCACATTCAAAATTTTATTGAACTACTATTTCAAGAATTTATGTTAATACGTTTGGTATAAACTGTAGATTATAATTCAAATTTTAGTACTATATATTACTCAATTTTATAATTTAAAAGCAAATGTTAAAAAACAGATAAACATCGATTTTTGTGTGTCACGTGGTACGTTGAATGCAACACTGGTTCAAATTAGATGTTTGTGAAGTCAAAATACTAAGTCTTTTGTTTCTAATGAATTAGAAAATCAAATACTTATATTGACAACTTAGAATATAAAATAAGAGCCTCTTATCTTTTCAATTTGTTAAGATATTGCTCATGTAATAAATCAAACACAGTGGCACCCCCCCACCACCTCTTTCCATTTTTGGAAATGCTCCCTTATATAAACTTACTTCTATATATGACATGAATAACCAATCGGAAGCTCAGAATGTTCCCCTAGTGGTTTTCTCAGCCTTTTTTAATGTTCCTTCTGCCATTTCTTTCTTTTGAACGAAGATTTCAATGAGGTAGGTTGTGTCTTTAGTCTGCTCAAAATTTCATATTTTTTTATACCTAAATAAAGCTTAGTTACTAAGCTTTATAAATTATAGTGAAATTCTGTGGTATTGATATAGTAATTTATGATTTTTTTTGGTTATTCAACTATATATATAAAAACCTAAAAAAAATTATTTCCTTCCATATCCCCCACGTGCGAAATTTACTTGCCCCATCTGGACATATATATATATGT